CATTTACGTCGTACGGTCTGTGTGTGTATCCAAAGTCCTTTCATTACGTTGTACGATCTGTGTGTGTATATCCAAAGTCCTTTCATTTACGTCGTACGGTCTGTGTGTGTATCCAAAGTCCTTTCATTACGTTGTACGATCTGTGTGTGTATATCCAAAGTTCTTTCATTTACGTTGTACGGTCTGTGTGTGTGTATCCAAAGTCCTTTCATTTACGTTGTACGGTCTGTGTGTGTATCCAAAGTCTTTCATTACGTTGTACGATCTGTGTGTGTATATCCAAAGTGTTTATTAAGAGTATTGGGTAAAAGAAACGTTTATTAAAAGTATCGGGTAAAAGAAACGTTTATTAAGAGTATCGGGTAAAAGAAACGTTTATTAAGAGTATCGGGTAAAAAAAACGTTTATTAAAAGTATTGGGTGAAAGAAACGTTTATTAAGAGTATTGGGTAAAAGAAACGTTTATTAAAAGTATTGGGTAAAAGAAACGTTTATTAAAAGTATTGGGTAAAAGAAACGTTTATTAAAAGTATCGGGTAAAAGAAACGTTTATTAAGAACAATCTTAACATCGAATATAATTTAAGTCATGACAATATTTGATGTGGCTTTATTTAAGTTATTAATTTGTCTCTCTAGAGTCTATTTGTGGAGAAACCGAACTATTTGTTGAAATAATAACTAGGTTGGTATTCATACTCTCATTGCCAGAGACGAAATTAGTATCAGTGTTGTAATTATAAAATGAATTTCAGAATAACTGAAGTAGACAAAACATATTTTACTTTATACCACATTACTTATCCTGCTACAAAAAAAAATACTATCAAAACTTGTTTTTCATTCCTAGAAAAAAAAAAAAATAATATATATATATATATGGTGGACTTTTGTATATGTATGAGAAGTTTACAGCTGTTTTCATAAGTTCAATCGTTGTTTTATTTTATGGATATTATTACTGATCATGCTTTTCCATATCTGTAATATTATTGGTTAATTAGGATGAAAAGTAAAATACAGACCGTACAACGTAAATGAAAGGACTTTGGATACCCACACAGACAGTACAACGTAAATGAAAGGACTTTGGATACCCACACAGACCGTACAACGTAAATGAAAGGACTTTAGATACCCACACAGACCGTACAACGTAATGGAAGAACTTTGGATACACACACAGATCGTACAACGTAATGAAAGGACTTTGGATACACACACAGACCGTACAACGTAATGAAAGGGGTTCTTTTACCCAATACTCTTAGTAAACGTTTCTTTTACCTGATACTCTTAATAAACGTTTCTTTTACCCAATACTTTTAATAAACGTTTCTTTTACCCGATACTGTATAATAAACCAGGTGATATTTGTGTCTATTGAATTTCAACAAGCGAATACAGTTTACTTGTTGATTTAGCGGCTACCTCGGAAGTCCTAAATTGGGTTTTAAATTGCAACAGTTTTAAAAAGGGTAGGTCTAAAGTTGTGGTGAATATTGTTTAATTTATAAACTGGTTTTGGAGTTCGTGAATCGGAATTTAGCTCAATATCTTAACTATTTGTAACAAGTCACTGAAAAACGTTACTTAACAATGTGCCGAGTATGTGCCCAGTTGCACTTAGCACGCGACAAAATCCCAGTTGTACTTATCACGTGACAGGATCCCAGTTGTACCTAGCACATGGCAGGGTCCCAGTTCTACGTAACACGTGACAGAATCCCAGTTGTACCTAGCACGTGACAGGATCCCAGTTCTACCTAACATGTGACAGGATCCCAGTTGTGCCTAATATGTGACAGGATCCCAGTTCTATCTAGTACGTGACAGGATCCCAGTTCTACCTAGCACGCGACAGGATCCCAGTTGTGCCTAACATGTGACAGGATCCCAGTTCTACCTAGTATGTGACAGGATCCCAGTTCTACCTAGCACGTGACAGGATCCCAGTTCTACCTAGCACGTGACAGAATCCCAGTTGTACCTAGCACGTAACACGATCCTGGTACTACCTAGCACGTAACACGATCCCAATTCTACCTAGCACGTGACTGGATCACAGTCAACACTGGATCTAGCATATGACATTATTACATACCTACCTAACAAGTGACATGATTCCAGGCCAACCTAACAAGGTATCGAACCAGAGTTTTTAGCGTTCAGACTTACTGCGGAACCACCGGAGTGCTTTAGTCTTAGAATGCGATGATAGGTTTCAGGATTGATCACTGACTCTTTGAAACTTGATCTACAAATACTGTTTACGTAAAAAACATGAGGAATAAACATGCAAACTCATATCGCAAGGAGATGAGCCTAGTAAAAGAGGAAAAAAAAAACATGAAAACTCATATCGCAAGGAGATGACCCTATTCCAAGTGGAATAAACATGAAAACTTATATCTCAACGAGATGGGCCTTATCGAAGAGGAATAAACACGCAAAAACGAGCTGGCTGCAGCTACATGTGAAACCTGCATGACATTTATCATTCAAGCCATTATCTCACACCAGACTCTTTCTTTTGATTATCTCTCTATCTTATCTGAATCTTTTAGTTTCTGAATCTCTAATAGGTGGCGCTTCGTAGTTACAATTTGTTTGTTTGTTTTGAATTCCGCGCAAAGCTACAGGAGGGCTATCTGCGCTAGCCGTCCCTAATTTAGCAATGAAAGGGAAGATAGCTAGTCATAAACACCCACCGCCAACTCTTGGCTACTCTTTTACCAATGAATAGTAGGATTGACTGAGCACATTATAATGCCCCCACGGCTGAAAGGGCGAACATGCTGGGTGGGACGGGGGATTCGAACCCGCGACCCACCGATTGTGAGTCGAATGCCCTAACCTCTAGACCAGGACGATAGTGAGAGATATAAGAACCTTGTTATGTAATATATCAATAAACCTCCAATGCCATAACATTTCCACCGTAAGAATAATAATTTTAATAACTTGAAATTAAAATACAATGAAAACTACCTGTGTTTATATACACAAAATAACTTGACGATGTTTTTTTTTATGGAATTACTGCAACAAATCTTGTTATAATATTGACATATATTTTTTTGGAATTAATAATACTTTAATCCTGACAATTGGATGAATTTATAGAGAGGTTAATATAAGTGTTACTAAAAAGTAAAACTTTCGATGAAAATATTCATAACAATTATCTCGAACATCGAATCCCTGGAACATCTATTTCGCTGACACTTTGAAAAAAAATTACATTTATGTATTTATGTGGACCGACAAACATCGTGTTGAGATATTTACAACAATTCTTAAAAGATGTCAAAAACATTTAGCCACGAAACAGTATCAGTTTAGAGAAAATGAGTTAAAGTAGGTAAAAGAACAGATACCTTTCGATTTCCCACAACTGACGTCATTAATGATATGTACGACATAGTAAGTATTTGTTTTCAAAACAGACTCGAACATCTGTTCATATAACTGGACTTAGACAAATAAATCATCTTTCATGGATACAATACAAACTCCTGTAAAACTGTTCACCTCTAAATTACATACATGTCAATTATTAAATATCACTTTACTAATTTTTAATACAAGAAGAGGAACAAACCACACTACAACAGCTATATTTGATGTGATGATCAAAGTAAGCCACCATTGTGTTGTGGTGTGTAAAAGACATACATAAATTATAGTCTTAAACTATTAATTACACTTGCTCACGTGATAAGCTGTAACTAAGTACTGTAAGCTTGTACTGTTTTCTAGGAAAAACTATAGATCGTGAGAAAGATGCGTGGCTTTTCTTGTCTGGGATTCTATTATAAGTCGGCTTCTCTGTAAAGTCGGCACCTCTGCAAAACTCTTGACTGGAGGCACTGTTGGGTAACGTATCATCAACTGATATACTTTCATAAACTATAAACTACCTTCTGGTTCCTTCCTCAAAGACCTTTCGTAAACTTTAAACTACCTCCTGGTTCCTTCCTCACAGTCCTATCACAAATTTTAAACTACTTTCTGGTTTCTTCCTCACAGACCTTTCATAAACTTTAAACTACCTCGTGGTTCGTTCCTCACAGTCCTATCACAAATTTTAAACTACTTTCTGGTTTCTTCCTCACTGACCTTTCATAAACTTTAAACTACCTCCTGGTTCCTTCCTCACAGACCTTTCATAAATTTTAAACTACTTTCTGGTTTCTTCCTCACAGACCTTTCACAAACTTTAAACTACCTTTTGTTCTTTCCTCACAGGCCTTTCATAAACATTAAACTACTTCCTGGTTATTTTCTCACAGACTTTAAACTACCTACTGGTTCCTTCCTCATAAATTTTAAATTACCTACTGGTTCCTTCCTCACAGTCCTTTCACAAACTTTAAACTACTTTCTGGTTTCTTCCTCACAGACCTTTACCAAACTTCAAACTACCTACTGGTTCCTTCCTCATATACTTTAAATTACCTACTGGTTCCTTCCTCCCAAATTTTAAACTACTTTCTGGTTCCTTCCTCACAAACTTTAAACTACCTACTAGTTCCGTCCTCACAGACCTTTCACAAACTTTAAACTACCTCCTGGTTCCTTCCTCACAGGCCTTTCATAAACTTTAAACTACTTCCTGGTTATTTTCTCACAGACTTTAAACTATCTTCTGGTTCCTTTCTTACAGACCTTTCATAAACGTTAAACTACTTCTGGGTCCTTCTTCACAGCCCTCGAATCTTTAACTGCGCCCACTTTTCATTTTTCACCTGTAAATTGTAAAGAAACAACCAAAAATTTATAAAGAAATTTCGAAATATTTAATTAACTTCTGAAATAATATTAATAATAAATAACGTGTCAACACTGATGATCTTTTGTTATGAAAAATAAGGCAACATTAAGTTAATACAATAGATACTTATCCAATATTTCAGAAATCGTTCACTACGTCAGTGTAGCCCACAGTCTAGTACATTTTTAATTAGGAGCCTCATGGCGTATCAGAAGAACAAAAAGTGACGTAGAATATGAATTTTTAAACGTTCATCCTAGCAATATTCCTTACATAGTTTGAAGCAACTACAAACATATTTAATAACCTAAGACATTTGAGTTTTAGCTATTTTTAGTTGAGAAAAAAAACAACACACGTACTCTTTACATATTCTTTAGAAATATTGGCACAGTATCAGCTATTTAACAAAATTTTACTGGTGGGGAGGATTCACTAGAAATGTATTTCAAAAAGCTATAATTCATTGGGTAGTATTGATTGTTAGATCCCCCCCCCCCCGTGGCTCAGCGGTAAGTCTTGCAGTTTAGAACGCTAAAATACGGGTTTCCATACCCATGGTTGGCAGAGCACAGGTAGCCCATTGTGTAGTTTTGTACTTAATTACAAATAAACAAATGTAACAAATTCTATTAAATGTTGCGCCATCTATAGTTTATAAGTAGGGGAAGGAAATTCTAGTCTCGTTTTTTCAGGACTCGAACCATGAACTACTGGAAGGCACGTATATTTTATAGTTAGTATATAAAGCGCTTGGTTTGCACTGTTAGATTATTGTTTACTTGTCTTAGCGCAAAGCCATATTAGGCTATCTGCTATTTCCACCACGGAAAATCGAACCCCGGATTTTAGTGTTGTAAGCCCGTAAACTTACCACCGTCCCACCGATAAAACTATTAGGGTAAATTTGCTTGTTAGTAGATGCAAAATATTTATTTGTATTAATGAAGTAATTAATTTTTTTCTATATTATATGATATTTGTATTTACTCAGAAGCTAAGTAGATATCTTAAAAAAAAAAAAGTGAAGATTGTTTGTTTGTTTTTGAATTTCGCGCAAAGCTACACGAGGGCTATCTGCGCTAGCCGTCCCTAATTTAGCAGTGTAAAACTAAAGGGAAAGCAGCTAGTCATCAACACCCACCGCCAACTCTTGGGCTACTCTTTTACCAACGAACAGTGGGATTGACCGTCACATTATAACGCCTCCACGGCTGAAAGGGCGAGCATGGTGTGACGGGGATTCGAACCCGCAACCCTCAGATTGCGAGTCGAGTGCCGTAACCACCTGGCCATGTCGGGCCACACAAGTGAAAAGATCAGTATCACAGTGAAACAGAGCACAAGTACTTCAGAAAAAAGCTTTACAAGGCTAATAAACTTAAATTGTCAATTTTTTATTCTTTTTTTAGATGTGCTAATTATTCAAACTAAGATAGATTTGTTACTTTAGGAAAGTTGCACAAAGCTCTGCGCATAGCCGTCCCTATTTTTAAACCCAAAGGCTAGAGGGAAGATAGCGAGACAACAGCACCAGCCACCAGTTTTTGGGCTACTCTTCTATAACCGTCACTCTTATAGCGCACCCACGTCCCTAAATGCGGATAGTGTTCCTGTGGTAACGAATATTAGTATAGGTATGAACGATAAAGCAGAATTATATATATATACATATATGACACTTTTTGAAACGTCCCCCCCCCCCTTCAATGGCACAGCGTATGTCTGCAGACTTCTAACTCTATAAACCGGGTTTTGATAGCCCATTGTGTAGTTTTATGTTTAAACTACAAACAAACATACCTTTTAAAATATTAATATTTAATTTTCTTTTCTTGGAATACAGTATTCTATTAATTGAATATTACTTAACACATTTAAAAATAATTTCTTAGTATTTTATGTCACAATTTAAGCTAATTTCTCGCAATTTTCTTTATCTATTTCCTTTTAGATTTCAGTTAGAACAAAATTCCCAAAGTCTGAGCAAAAAGACCATCTTAAATTAACACTATTTTTTCCATTGTTCAGTAAGACAATTCCTCTCCAGTGGCTAAGCGCCAAATCTGCAGGTTTAAGTCGCTGAAAATCGGGTTTGCATACTTGTGGTGTAGCTTTCGCTTAACAACAACCAAACCAAGTAAGACAGTCACAAAGAACGTTCATTATTCATTTCTCGCCATTTTAAGAAATTTACCTCCAGCGAATCATCTGGTACACCATGTGTAAACCAAATATATTACCTCGTGACTTGCGGTGTTCGTTAAAAAGGAAGCTATAAATCCACGAATATGGTGATAGTTGTCTTGATGAAACTCTGTTGAAACACCTTCCACGTTCATCACAAAAATAACACATGGAATACTTTCAAACTCAAATCATGTGTGTTAAGTTAGGGACAAACGTGATTCAAACTAGATGTATATGGATTAATGAAGAGACAAAAATTATAAACATGTGGTTCAAACTAGATGCATGTGGGTTATTGAAGAGACAAACATTATAAAAACTTAGAACCATAAATTGTTTCCTTTGTTTAAAGAAGACTTGGCCGCCAATAAACTGACCTTACGTAGAGAAACAAGACTAAAACTGAAATATTTATGGGGCATAAATCACTTTGTTCTAGAAGTATACCCATGAGCTCGAGAAATTTTCACTCCCCTTTTTCTGTCAATTACCACTTTAAAAATGCCTCGACGTGGCAATAACTTATTCTCCAAAAATTAGCCGTCTATAAACAAGAAGATTGTGATCGATAAGCCACAGAACATGGGTTCCTTTTAAGGTAATGAATCCGTAATATATACTTGAAAATGGTAAGTTACATATTTCTAGGAAGAATATTTTATAAAACCCGACAAGAGTATTGGGTAAAAGAAACGTTTATTAAGATCTGGGGTTACTGTTTCATCGTAATATTTATATCATCTGGTTTATTATACATCTGGGGTTACTGTTTCATTGCAATATTTATATCATCTGGTATATTATACATCTGGGGTTACTGTTTCATTGCAATATTTATATCATCTGGTTTATTATACATCTGGGGTTACTGTTTCATTGCAATATTTATATCATCTGGTTTATTATACATCTGGGGTTACTGTTTCATCTTAATATTTATATCATCTGGTTTATTATACATCTGGGGTTACTGTTTCATCTATTTATATCATCTGGTTTATTATACATCTGGGGTTACTGTTTCATTGCAATATTTATATCATCTGGTTTATTATACATCTGGGGTTACTGTTTCATTGCAATATTTATATCATCTGGTTTATTATACATCTGGGGTTACTGTTTCATC